TATGTCAAGGTTGTCAAGTGATTAAGATTTATTGGTCCCAATCAAAATCAAATAATTGACTTGAATTGTCAAAGATAATTCCAAAAAAAGTCTCCAACTACTTAATTTTCGAAACGTAATCATTCTCAAATACGAGCTGCTTATAGAGAGACTACAGCATCGAGCAATAAAAACAACACTGAACGAACTGATACACTGTTAAATTTTTCGCAGGATATTTAAACGAGAATAAGATGATACGGAAGAATCCTATCGAATGTATGAAAATGAATCGAAAGAATTTGCGAATGAATCACAGCGAATGAAAAATTAAGTCGCAACACTATCGAAAATAATGAGTTTGCTTGAAATTTGACTCAAACGAGGTGGGAGTTTGGTGTGATTCGAGTGCATAAAATAAATCAAATCACTGAGAATGCATTCATCAAATGCAATATCCTTGGTTGTAGATACCCCCATATGGGAATGATTTCAATTCTTTCAGAACGAGGTAATATGATCGCAAATGTGCAATGGAATATGTCACTTCTACGGAAGAAGATGGAAAGTTAATCAAAAGGCATTGCAGTCGTAAGAATGTAAAATGAACGAGCAGGTGGGTGCCAGGTGTGAGCAATATCAATTATGCACTCTCAAACTCTTGGCTCTTCATAGCGTTGTCCAGGTACAACTATCATCAGTAAAGGCCATAGCACTTCTTCATGTATAATAGTTCGTTGAACTAAAATCCAACGAATGACATTATTAACGCTGATTGAATTTGAAGTGGATGATCAGGAGCAGCAGCGGGAACAAACAACCACTAGAACATTTCCTATATAGAGATTAGTCGCTCGCACTTCGTATAACTTGTTGATCATTTGAGGAAATTCTTTGAAGAAGTCTGTTACGGCTAAGCGACTACCGAAAGCCGATGAGCTTATCCGGGGGAATGGTAGAATGTAGGAATATATGAATAATGGATAGATGAATGATATCCATTGACTATGATGATTATGTGGTATGCATGAGCATGTGTGTATGTGTGCATAAATGGCTGTGAGAAATGCAGTCAGTGATAAAGACTGCAGCTCGATTGCCCAGTGAAGAAGAGTGCCCCCAAACTCTTATGACAAGCAATAAACGTGTGGTTGATAGCTCTCAAGGGATAAATCATGAACTTCTTATTTTTCTCACTTTCATTCGCAAAATTACACTCTTCAATATTGAGAATTTATCTGTTTCTTACTGCCATCATGCAATAATCTTTGCCTTTCGTTTCCCTCTATCGCTTTCTGCTTGAAGCTCAAAAAACAACCGATTAGACGAACAACTCAAATTGCTATACAATTGCTGTGAAACTTGACTCGCTCGGCTCGGTTTGTTCAAGCAATGTATCTAATTACTCACTAATGCTATCATGATCTAGACAGATCAGTTTGCTCTAATTTTCACGACTTATGCCGCTCATCAGACCAATCTCGCAATCTGTTTGCTCAAGAGCTGATTGCAAACTTCCGAACAGTTTGAACAGCCCGTTCGAACGCATGAACGTTCGAAAAATGTGAAAGAAACACACGACAGAGGCTGGACGATCTCCACGATACTTCAGGGGCAAAGCAGCCAATAGGTAATTGCTATTTTGAAGGTTCGATTCCCGTTCGCGGGAGCAACTTTTGCTGGGAACCGAACTGTGTACCAATATCGCTGATGTTTTGGTAGAATATACCACGCTAATTGAGTTGACAGAATCTGGTGACATTTGTGGGTGCAGTCTCCTCGCACAGTTTCACATCAGTCAGAAGACTTCACGTTGAATANAAATTAATAACACTGACTGGCTTATCAATTCGTTTACAAATCCAATTAACCAGATCAACGTCGTGCGACCGTGTGTACATCTGGTTATTAACGTTTGATCTGATGCTAGTGAATCGGTTGAGTTATGGAACGAACACGACAAAGAGGTGGATTACATGGCCATAAGCAAGCATCCAAGAACATAAGAGCGCATCAACTATTCGATTAAAAGAATGTATATCAAAAATAATTGACATTTGAGATATTGATTGTGATTAATTTTACGCGTAATGGCTTTCTGATCCCATATTCAGATAAGTAAGGGATGAGTTGAGGTAATGCAATTATCAAAAGATTCTTTTAAAACATCCACTGTCCAGCTTTCTTTCAAAGTATCCACTGGCCAGCTCTCATTCAAATCATCCACTGGTTAGTTAATCTGATCATAGGGGACCTTCGAACGCCAATCATTTTGATGCGAATATTTCTGCCTGAATTCAAGCATACTCGCAATGTCTCGCGCATGAGCGCAGTTTTGGAAAGATTTTTTTACGATTCACTGC